ATAAGATCTGGTGCAACCAATTACCTTCAGAAGTCACATAATTAGTTAAATAAAGTCCACCTGTGTGCAATCTAAGTGTCACATGATCTGTCACATGATCTCAGTATATATACACCTGTTCTGAAAGGCCCCAGAGTCTGCAACACCACTAAGCAAGGGGCACCACCAAGCAAGCGGCACCATGAAAACCAAGGAGCTCTCCAAACAGGTCAGGGACAAAATTGTGGAGAAGTACAGATCAGGGTTGGTGTAAGGGTTGGTGTGAGGCGTGACCCAGGTGCGATGCAGGATAGACAGTAGGCAGTAGGCAAGGATGGTGAAACAAGGATCTTTACTGGTGGTCCAAAAGCCAGGACTATACACGAAAACAAATGAGGAGCACATAGGTCTCCAAAAAACAGGCTGACAACAAACAATACGAAATACTAACTCTGACTGGAAAAACACAATGACACAGGAAGAACACTTCTCGAGTACCTGTAACTCCGTTACGTGATCCGACACTGATACGTGATTAAAAGTTTTTATTCAAAAATCCACACCATACATCATCATACACATTACACACACCATTAATTCCCAACCCCAACATCACTAAAAATAACAATACAAAACTACCCACCACAATATATATCAAACACCTACAAAACCGAACAATAACAGAAATTACACCCCAGGGGAGCACCTTCCCTCCCCCTTTATAACCAGCTAAAAACACACACACACAAATCCTAAATCCCTACCCCTCTACACTAACCCTAACCCTAAACCCCCCTTCCACCTCTCCCGAGCAGCATGCTGCCCCCACTTCCTCTCCTCTCTCTTCATTATCCCCCTCAAATTCTGCTCCACCCTCCTCACTATCCCCTCCACACCCCCTTCTCTCCCTGTCCTTTCCATTTTCTGCCTAGCTCCCCACAACCCCCGTTTAAAGAGGCTTATGAGAAGCCAGAGCAGAAACCTGTCCCTAACCGCCCCCCTCGCTTTCCCTACACCTCTCTCTACCCTAGCCCACGTCACAACAAAATCCCCCCTCACCCTGCCTATCAACACCTGTGCCCTAGCCCATACCACGCTGGCGAAAACACAGCCCCAAAAAACACGCCGCAATGTCTCCTCTCCGCCACAAGTTGGCCTTGGGCAGGTGGGGGATCGAGTCATACCACGCCCGTACAAGATGGAACGTACGGGCAAGCCCTTATGGAGACTCAACCAATTCAGGTCCTTGAGCCTGTTATCCAGACCTCGCACCTGCACTCCTTCCCAAACCACAGCCGGGATACCTAATACTGGCCCGGGACACCCTCCCCGTCTCACCTCCTCGTACAGGTGCCTGTGATCTAAACCTACTCAGGCAACTTCAACCTTGGGGTGACCACGCAGCCACTTGGCCGCATAGCCAAAGTGCCACGGCAGCTGTTCCGCCCGAGGACCCGTGTTAGTCCACACCATTACGCTTCTCGCCTGGTAAGAGAAGAACACCCGCAGGAAGTAACCAGACGGGTGTATTACCGGATGAGCCAGCTTAGTCAACAAATAAGAAACAAAAATCGAGTCCAGCTTGAAGGGGAAATGTGGTACCCCCCTACCTCCCTCCCCGATGGGACAGAGTATGCGAAACATTGCGACACGCTCGAGCCTGCCACCCCACATGAACTGAAACACTAGCCTCACTAGAGGCCTCCTCAGACTAGCTGGCAATGGGTAGACGTACGCCATATACAAAAGAGACGGCAACACATCCACCTTGAGGACCAGGACCTTGCCTATAAAGGACAACGACCTAGCCCTCCACATCCCCAGCTTCCTCTGTACCACTGCGATGCTCCTGTTCCAGTTCAGCGTCGCTGAGCCGGAGGTCTCAAACAAGACCCCGAGAATCTTCAGGGCCCCAATACAGAGAGATAACCCCCCAGACACATCCGTCCTCCCACGCCATCTTCCGAAAAACTTAACGGAAGACTGAGCGTGATTGAGAACCGCTCCTGACGCTAGGGTGAATTCCCCAATGATGGCAAGGGACGTAGTCAGGCACGAGTCCTTGCATAGTAACAAGGAAGTGTCGTCGGCGTACTGCGTCATCTTAACGTGCAGCCCACCGCTCCCAGGGATAAGCAAGTCCTCCACCCCTGTGTCTGCCCTAATGGCAGCCCCCAGAGGCTCCATGTACAGAACGAAGAGGAGTGCCGAGAGCGGGAACCCCTGCCTGACCCCCGACGTGAGGTCAAAAACATCACCCATGTGACCGTTTACATTTACCCGGCAACCTGCTCCGACATATAAAGCACGGATCCACCCTATATACTTCTCCCCAAAACCTAATCTACCTAACACCCTGAAAAGAAAATATCTATTCACTCGATCAAAGGCTTTAGCCTGATCAAGTGCTGCTACCATTAACGGCAGCCCTCTATCCTCTACCCAAGAGATGGAGTCCCTAATCAAACTCAGGTTCCACCTAATAGAGCGGCCCTCTATCCCACACATCAGATCCTCATGGACGACGTAGGGAAAGGTTGTGCGCAACCGGTCCGCTAGAACCTTCGCAAGCAGCTTATAATCTACGCACAGCATGGTCAACGGCCGCCAGTTGCCAAGGTCTGTTGCGTCCCCCTTCTTGTAAAGAAGTGACAGCACACCTACCATCGATCCCCCCGGGACCCCCGTCTCGAGGATGGCCTTCAAGACTTCAAGGACTACCGGACCAAGTTTCCCCCAAAACTTGAGGTAAAACTCTGCCGGCAGCCCATCCATCCCGGGCACCTTCCCTTTTCCCATCCTCCTGAGGGCGCTCTCAACCTCTTCGAGGGAGATCTGAGCTTCCATCGCTTCTCTAATGTCCTCTGGCACTCGCCGGGACAGGTGTTCTGAAAACACATTTCCCTGCTCTACATCTACTGCCCTTTCTTGAAAAAAACCTCGGAAATGTTCCGCGGTCACCTTGACCATTTCCTCAGTTTCTCTCACTACTCTACCGTTTTCTTCCCTAACCCCGTACATTACCTTTCTACTCTGTCGTACCCTAACTGATTTAAAGAACATGGCGGAACAAGTCTCGTCGTGTTCTAAAAACCCACTGTGCGCACGCTCCAGGAAAGCGCAAGCCTTCCGCTCATGCACCTCCCTAAGTTGCGCCTTTAGGGCAGAGGATCTCTCCTAGTCTACCGACCCACCGAGGTTGCCTGCCTCGAGCTCGAGTTCGAGCAGCCTTTGGATATGATCCACCTCCCTCCTTTCCTCCCTCTTTTTCCTCTTACAATATCCTATTATAAAAACCCCAATCCTCACCTTTGCTATTTCCCACCACTCTAACACCCCCTCATACATGGACCGGAGGCCCTGAAGTCCCCTAAAGAAATCAACAAAACAGTTAACGAAAGCCTGCTCATCCAGTACCTTCCATTCTAACTTCCAGTACCCCCTACCAAAGAGGCAGACTGGTGCCCCCACCTGCAGCAACACCCCCCGTTGTGATCCGAAAAAAACACAGGCAACAAATGCCTAGACAACTGACCCAGTGACCTGGATAGAAAAATATAGTCGAGCCTCCGTTCGACCCCTCTGGAGTTGCGCCATGTTGGACCTACCATCGTCGGAGCAGTGTGCAGGCCCCCCATCTACCAGACCATGGCACGCCATTAGCCCGGCGATGGCACCTGCACTACTGTCCCTCCCCCTCCCTATATCTATATTGAAATCCCCCCTATCACCAAGTGTCTATTCGTGGCACACAGCGGCGCCAGGCAGTCCACCATCTCCCTCCTGCCTGCCGCCAACTGTGGCCCGTACACCACAATTACCCTATATCTATCATCCCTTACTGTGACATCCACCCCCAAAACCCTCCCCTGCATACCTACCAAAGTGCCCTCCACCTTCACCTCCCTATTCCCAAACAAAATCCCTACCCCCGATGAGTGCACCCACCCTATACCCCAAACCGACTCTCCCTTGTCCCACTCCCTCTTAAACCTTATTACATCCCCACTATCCCTTAGGTGAACCTCCTGTATAAAACAAATATCAAAACCCACCCCCTCTAAATATCCCAAAACCACCCTTCTTTTAACATCCTCCCTTATTCCCCTCACATTTAAAGTAACAACAATAATAATAATCCCTGCCACAATACATTTCACAAATTACAACCTACTAAACCCCAAAAAACAAAACAAAACAGGAGGCTCACCTGATGCTCCCCTGCTCCATCTCCTCCTGTAGGGACTCCGACTCCCCCCAAGATGCCCCCCCACTCCCCTCCATCTCTCCAACCCAGGATGCAGGAATGGTGTTTGGCTCCTGGGTTCCCTGCATCCTGGGCTCACCACCATCCACCTCCAAAACCCCAATCTCAAAACAGGTTGGGAACAGTGCAGGGGATCCTGAGCCCTCCCCCCCCTGTACGTTGGGGGGTAGCGAGGACACAGGAGATTCTTCCCTCACAGCGCCCTTCTCCCCCATGACACGCTTGGCCCCACCCCCCCCCCCCTCTCCCCCACCACCCATTTCCCATCTCCCCCTCCTCCCCCTCTTCTTTGGAGACGCCGGCAGTGGGGAGACCCAGCCCCCCTTGATCACCAGCTCCTCCATCATCTCCCTCACCTCATCCCCCTGGGCACTCGACATCTTGCTTTCCCCCCACTCCGGCCCCCCCTCTCCCCCCTTTTCCTCTCCTCCCAGGGCTGTGGCTGGCTCCTCCCCGACCTCATCTCCATCTACCGCCTCCGTCTCCGGCACCTCCTCTCCCACACTCCCCTCCGTCTCCGTCTCCGGCACCACCTCTCCTTCCAGAACTGCTACGGCAGTCTCCTGCCCGTCCCCCTCTCCTCCCGGTGCTGTTCTCCGCTCCTCCTCCGTCGTCGATGGTATTGCCTTCCTCCTCCATCCCCCGCTCCTGCCCCTGCTCCCCACCAGCTGCAGCTGCATATGGCTTGTGACGAGCCGTACACTCCCTCCACAGGTGTGCTGAAGATCCACACCCGTGGCACTTCTTCGACTCGTCATAGTCCCTCGCCATAGGCCATGCATCGTCTGCAGAAAGGGGGCTGACGGGCAAAAAACAATGTCCCCCTGTCAGCCCCCAGGGAGAACAGAGCTGGAGGATGAAGGTAACCTCCCAGGCCCTTTGGGTCTTCCCTCAACAGAGCCTGGAAGCTTCTCCTCCCGTTCCAGAACCCTAGCGAGTCTTTGAGGAGCCTTGCCGAGGAGACATTGTCCATATACCTCCCCATAAAAACCCTCATTTCCTCATCCTTAACATGCGGGTTATACATGTTTACTGTTATTACCCTGAAATTGTTCTTGGCCAAGCTTGTCACCTCGTAGTGGCACATCGGCCTGGCCTTCTCCACCTCCCTCGCCTTTTTCATGACCTCGTCATGCTTCCCCTCCGTGTGAAAAACCACATCATAAGCCCCTTCCAAGGGGTTCGCCTGGAGGCACATCACGTCCTTTACCGCCAGCTTTAACACTCCCATCAACAAAGTCCTCCCAAATGTTTCCCTTCCAAAAGGCTCCATGTCCTTCTCCTTCCACGCAAACCTAACTGCGTTCGTGATCCAAATCCTGGGAATCGCCCTAAAATTTGCATTTTTCGCCATCTCCGCGAGGAGAATAGCGCCCGCACCACTGCTCCGACTCTTTTCTATATTAGTTACAAACAATGTTTTACTATTTTAATTGATTTAAACCACGCTTCCTTCTTAGACAGTCGTAGTACTGCTGAGCATCGATAAACTAGCAGAGAAAACTGAGCAAGGGAACAAATACACAGGTGAATCAGATAGCCACAGGTGACACCAATAGGCAGATAATTAGTCCCGACTGTGAGTGAGGAGGTGCCTATGGTTGTCGGAGGATGACATCTAGTGGGTTGCTCCGGAACTGCAACCCACTCCTGTAACAGGTTGGGTTATAAAAAAATATCAGAAACTTTGAACATCCCACGGAGCACCATTAAATCCATTATTAAAAAATTGAAAGAATATGGCACCACAACAAACCTGCCAAGAGAGGGCCGCCGACCACAACTCACAGACCAGGCAAGGAGGGCATTAATCAGAGAGGCAACAAAGAGACCAAAGATAACCCTGAAGGAGCTGCAAAGCTCACAGCGGAGATTGGAGTATCAATCCATAGGACCACTTTAAGCCGTACACTCCAAAAGGCATGTGGGAGACTCCCCAAACATATGGAAGAAGGTACTCTGGTCAGATGAGACTAAAATTGAGCTTTTTGGCCATCAAGGAAAACGCTATGTCTGGCGCAAACCCAACACCTCTCATCACCCCGAGAACAGCATCCCCACAGTGAAGCATGGTGGTGGCAGCATCATGCTGTGGGGATGTTTTTCATCGGCAGGGACTGGGAAACTGGTCAGAATTGAAGGAATGATGGTTGGCGCTAAATTCAGGGAAATTGTAGAGGGAAACCTTTTTCAATCTTCCAGAGATTTGAGACTGGGACCTTCCAGCAGGACAATGACCCTAAGCATACTGCTATAGCAACACTCGAGTGGTTTAAGGGGAAACATTTAAATGTCTTGGAATGGCCTAGTCAAAGCCCAGACCTCAATCCAATTGAGAATCTGTGGTATGACTTAAAGATTGCTGTACACCAGCGGAACCCATCCAATTTAGAGGAGCTGGAGCAGTTTTGCCTTGAAGAATGGGGAAAAATCCCAGTGGCTAGATGTGCAAAGCTTATAGAGACATACCCCAAGAGACTTGCAGCTGTAGTTGCTGCAAAAGGTGGCTCCACAAAGTATTGACTTTGGGGGAGGTGGGGGTGAATAGTTATGCACGCTCAAGTTTTCAATTTTCTGGTCTTATTTCCTGTTTGTTTCACAAGAAAAAATATTTTGCATCTTCAAAGTTGTAGGCATGTTGTGGAAATCAAATGATACAAACCCCCAAAAAATCCATTTTAATTCCAGGTTGTAAGACAACAAAATAGGAAAAATGCCAACGGGGGTGAATACTTTCGCAAGCCACTGTAATTACAGTACCAGTCAAAAGTTTGAACAGACCTACTCATTACAGGGTTTTTCTTTATTTGTACTATTTTCTACATTGTAGAATAATAGTGAAGACATCAAAACTATGAAATAACATATATGGAATCATGTAGTAACCAAAAGAGTGTTAAACAAATCTAAATATATTTATATTTGAGATTCTTCAAAGTATCCACCCTTTGCCTTGATGACAGCTTTGCACACTCTTGGCATTCCCTCAACCAGCTTCATGAGGTAGTCACCTGGAATGCATTTCAATTATCAGGTGTGCCTTGTTAAAAGTTAATTTGTGGAATTTATTTTCTTCTTAATATGTTTGAGCCAATCAGTTGTGTTGTGACAAGGTAGGGGTGGTATACAGAAGATAGCCCTATTTGGTAAAAGACCAAGTCCATATTATGGCAAGAACAGCTCAAATAAGCAAAGAGAAATGACAGTCCATCATTACTTTAAGACATGAAGGTCAGTAAATCCGGAAAATGTCAAGAACTTTGAAAGTTTCTTCAAGTGCAGTCGCAAAAACCATCAAACGTTATGATGAAACTGGCTCTCATGAGGACCGCCACAGGAAAGGAAGACCCAGAGTTACTTCTGCTGCAGATGATAAGTTCATTAGAGTTAACTAATGTAAAATAAAAAATTTAAAAACAATGTTACCTGCATCTCGGATTGCAGCCCAAATAAATTAGTTCAAATAACAGACACATCTCAACATCAACTGTTCAGAGGAGACTGCGTGAATCAGGCCTTCGTGGTTGAATTACTGCAAAGAAACACTACTAAAGGACACCAATAATAAGAAGAGACTTGCTTGGGCCAAGAAACATGAGCAATGGACATTAGACCGGTGGAAATCTGTCCTTTGGTCTGATGAGTCCAAATTTGAGATTTTTGGTTCCAACTGCCATGTCTTTGTGAGACGCAGAGTAGGTGAACGGATGATCTCAGCATGTGTGGTTCCCACGGTGAAGTATGGAGAAGGAGGTGTGGGGGTGCTTTGCTGGTGACACTGTCAGTGATTTATTTAGAATTCAAGGCACACTTAACCAGCATGGCTACCACAATATTCTGTAGCGATACGCCATCCCATCTGCTTTGCACTTAGTGGGACTATCATCTGTTTTTCAATAGGACAATGACCCAAAACACACCTCTGTAGCTCAGCTGGTAGAGCACGGCACTTGTAACGCCAAGGTAGTGGGTTCGATCCCCGGGACCACCCATACACAAAAATGTATGCATGCATGACTGTAAGTCGCTTTGGATAAAAGCGTCTGCTAAATGGCATATTATTAGTATTATTACCTCCAGGCTGTGTAAGGGCTATTTGACCAAGGAGAGTGATGGAGTGCTGCATCAGATGACCTGGCCTCTACAATCACTAGACCTCAACCCAATTGAGATGGTTTGGGATGAGTTGGACCGCAGAGTGAAGGAAAAGCAGCCAACAAGTGATCAGCATATGTGGGAACTCCTTCAAGACTATAGGAAAAGCGTTGCTCATGAAGCCGGTTGAGAGAATGCCAAGAGTGTGCAAAGCTGTCATCAAGGCAAAGGGTGGCTACTTTGAAGAATCTAAAATCTAAAATATATTTAGATTTGTTTAACACTTTGTTGGTTAATACATGATTCCATATGTGTTATTTCATAATTTTGATGTCTTCACTATTATTCTACATTGTAGAAAATAGTACAAATAAAGAAAAACACTTGAATGAGTAGGTGTGTCCAAACGTTTGACTGGCACTGTGTGTGTGTGTGTGTGTGTGTGTGTGTGTGTGTGTGTGTGTGTGTGTGTGTGTGTGTGTGTGGCGTGGGGGAAGAGGGGAGGAGGCACATCCACCGAAACAGCTGTTCCAGATGTTTCCCTGGACATGTCACAATCCAGGGCAGAGTAATGAGCCTGGGCTAGTGAGTTAACCTATCCCTGATACCTTTCCAGGTAGTGTTGTGTTGCACAATAACAGACTAGCTGGTCCTCTGGGGTCATGTCAGACCACATACTTAACAGTCTGAGCAACTATAAGAGTTGTCAGAAAGCTTTGGCTGTTTTGAGCTGATCAAGTATTATGATGTTATTCTCTGTTCTCTGTATTTGTTTTTGGTGATTAGGAGTTGTAGATTATCTAAATGCTTTGTCCTTTTTGGTCAGTCAGTGTTACAAAATGGTAGCATTTATGCAGGCCACTACTGCCCTCTATGTCTACCCTTACTACTACAATAAGTAATACACTGTAAAGCTCTGCTAATATGAACAAGGCCTGTGTTACTCAAGGGTGTGTGTACAGTGTAATATAATTATAAAAATAGACAATAAACTTTGATAGCACACTAATAAAATACATTTTAAATACACTAACATATAAAACAAATATCAGTACTTAACGGGCTTCCAAGTCCCTTTGCAATAAGAGAGTATTGAAGCCATTATCAAAACGGAATGGTCTTCAAATCATATATGACAAATCATATGTGTTACAGTATGTAGGTGCTTGTAGGTGAGACACAGAGAGAGGGAGAGAGAGAAAGGAGGGTGAGAGAGAGACACAGAGAAAAGGAGAGCGAGACCAAGAGAGAGAATGCCCCTGAGAAGCCCCCCTTTACTAAGGACGTTTAATGTCTGTCAGTGGTGTTCTGCCAAGCCGTTCATATAGCCAGACAGTCTTCATACAGACACACACTGAGGCTCCTCTATGGTTCTGACACTGCGTCCTATCCCCTGTTGCTCCTCTCTCTGCACAAGTGAGTCATCCCATTGAGTTGGCTCATTTACATTCTAAGATAAAGGACTTCTGATCCAGCCTATTGAACTGTTACATTGCCTGACAAGACTGCTGATTACCCTTCATAAGTAGGCAGCCTATACAGTATATTAAAGCTGTTCGATTTCTGGTAAATGTATCTTTAAATCACATGTTCTTAAAGGGATAGTGAGGGATTTTGACAATAAAGCCATTTATTGACTTCCCCAGAGTCAGTTGAACTCATGTATACAATTGTTTATGTCTATGCGTCCAGTATGAAGAAAGTTAGAAGTAGTTCTGCGAACCAATGCTAACTAGCGCTAGTATCTATATGACAGAGTAGAGTATTATGTTTCTTCATTATCTTGTTCTATGTACTCTGCATGCTCTGTTCGAAAGGAGTGAGGTACCAGAAAAGGACTGATATCACAAGGTCTGTGTATGTGACAAACATGTGCTCTCTAACCGTAACCTAGCAACCCTGGCAATGTGGTCCTGCACTGCCCCAGCACCGCAACGACCCAATTGTTTTTCACTCATGGAGGTCCTTCCATCACATGACTTATTATGACCACTTCCTACACCCACTGGGGTTCTCCCTGGTGATTTAACCTGCTCTGGCACTTCTCTCCTCTGCCCTGGTTTCTAATCAGCAGGGGGTTCCCCCTGTCTCCCTCCTCTCTCCCTAGAGTTCCCCCTGTCTCCCTCCTCTCTCCCTAGAGTTCCCCCTGTCTCCCTCCTCTCTCCCTAGAGTTCCCCCTGTCTCCCTCCTCTCTCCCTAGAGTTCCACCCTGTCTCTCTCCTCTCTCCCTAGAGTTCCACCCTGTCTCTCTCCTCTCTCCCTAGAGTTCCACCCTGTCTCTCTCCTCTCTCCCTAGAGTTCCCCCTGTCTCTCTCCTCTCTCCCTAGAGTTCCACCCTGTCTCTCTCCTCTCTCCCTAGAGTTCCACCCTGTCTCTCTCCTCTCTCCCTAGAGTTCCACCCTGTCTCTCTCCCCTCTCTCCCTAGAGTTCCACCCTGTCTCTCTCCTCAGGCTTTTGGTCACTGTACATTAGAACCCAGCTCTGGACCCATACTGAGTCCCCCCCCCTCTCTCTCTCTCTCTCTCTCGTTTTCCTTTTCTTCTCTTTCTCTTTCCCTCTTTCTCCCTCTCTCATTCTACTCGAAGACTCAACACAAAGGAGAAACCAGAGCTGGCCTTGCTCCCTGCGTCTGTGACTCTGCGTGTGAACCGTGTGTGCGGTGGTGAGATCGTCCTAGTGAGGTTTGGGGAGTAACGCAGGAGACAATTAGGGACTTCAAAGGAGCCCTGTGTGCAGGTGTGAGGGCCGTCTGACACACTGCTCTAATCTGAGGGCTGCTTGTCAGTTGCACGCCCCTGTCAAACATGGAACTCCTTTGAAGGTCTCTCAGGCACAATGCAATATATTTACATTACAAACATCGCACATACGTGCTTGCAACCTCCAGCTTGTGCACACACACATGCAAGCAGGCACCAATCTCTGTGCTATGAGCAAACACAAACACACACACACTTGAATATTTACACAGCGACAAGTGTTTTTTGGGGGGGATAGTAAAAAGGGTATTTTTACTGGGGCAAACAAACACTGAGCAATGAGCTCATAAACATGATGTATTTTGTCAATGCCTCTATGAAAGAGACCCACATTTTTGGCCGCCGCTGATCTGTTAATGATTCTAATTATGTTTTTATTAATTTTTTATAGAAAAACACATCAGTCTCCACATCGGTCTCCATTGTTAATTCAGTCATCATGTGTGTTATAGTCGGTAGACATAATAAGTGCATTAGTAGTCTCTCTGAGGTGTCGTAGAGATACTTATGGCCCCTATGGGAACAGAAACAAATACAGTGTTTATAACTTGACATGAGAGAACTTAGGAAGGTTGAACACCAGACGGGGTGCAGCGTTCTGGATAAGTTGAAGGGGTTTAATGGCACAGGCAGGGAGCCCAGCCAACAGCGAGTTGCAGTTCCCGAGTGGCGCAGTGGTCTAAGGCACTGCATCGCAGTGCTAGCTGTGCCACTAGAGATCCTGGTTCGAGTCCAGGCACTGTTGCAGCTGGCCACGACCGGAAGACCCATGGGCTGCGCACAATTGGTCCAGCGTCGTACAAGGTAGGGGAGGGTTTGGCCGGCAGGGATGTAGGTTCGTTTCCCACGGGGGGCCAGTATGAAAAAAAAAAACATGTATGCATTCGCTAACTGTAAGTCGCTCTGGATAAGAGTGTCTGCTAAATGACCAGTGGCGGCTCCTGAAAAAATTCTCAAGGGGGGCAATTTTTCTGATGATTTAGGTGACCTACACACATTTTAAAAAAGATATGTCCAGCAACAACATGAAGACAGGGGCAGCATATAAGTCAATACCAGAAGCATTTATTGACTGATCTCAAAAGTGTTGGCTTACCAGGGTTGGTGGAGCCCTCAGTTTCATCTTTGCCTCGCAAAGCTAACTCAAACACTCCGCAAAACTTCACACACTGGATTAGCCGGCTGAGGATGTGGCGGTTCTTGCTAATGTCGTAGTAAATATATTTGTTATAGTGAATATGGAATATGATATGTTGAGTAAAATGTTGTGCTAAGATCTATTTAGGTCAGGAGCTGGTTAAAAGTTCTGTTCCTATCCAATAACAATGGACAAAAGGGTCCTATCTTGTCAGCCTTGTCAGTTTCAGTTCTCCAGTAAACTTGTGATTATCAACACTAACCTCATCGTTGTGGCGGCGGACAGCTAGCCTGTATCCCTCATCCAGTTGAGTGGGAATGTTCACTCTCCCCAAAGCAGACTATCTCAAACAGCTATCCATGTGGGTCTTTGACAGCTCATGTTTCTTAATCTTTCCTGAAAGATGGTGCATGTCCGTTACACACCAGTCGCTGTCCAAGCGGTGCTGTCTGCCGTGCCGCCTTCAGGATGAAAGAGTAAGCAGGGGGTAGCAGAAGACTGCATTAGCTACATCGCAGCCTGCTAGCCAGGTTTTTCGTTCGTACCAATTTTTGGAAAATCCTCGGGTGTAGGACTTCCCCCCTTTAGTAGAAACCTGTTGAATTATTAAATTTGGTCTGGGAGGTCCTAATTGTTTCGTTGCCAATTTATCTTCATTTGTTCGCCGACAAAAAGGAACTTCTTTCAAAGACATAATCGCGTTGCACTGAAGGCTAGCCATTTTGACAGTAATAGTGAATTGATTGATGAGGCTACCCGCTCTTTTCTTAGTTACGTTCATGGTTATGTTACGTATGACGAAAGCGCGTAAGTGCAAGCCCTCAGAAACCCATAGAGATTGTATTGAAAGCTCTGATATTTGAAAAAAATAGATTTTACATGGGAGTCTATGACAGACTTCTGGGCGATTTTCAACCTGACTGAAATCGCCCCAAAAGGGGGGGTGGCCATTTGAAGCACGACTTTAGCCTGATTGGACATTTAGTGGCACTGTGGCAGATCAGACGTCTAGATTACAACACTGATAACTACTGTTGCCGTGATATAATTGATTAGAAAAAAAATCCCTTCCTTTTCCCGTTTGGCAGTGCGTCGCCCATATCGCCCTATTGAACACACCGCCCCTGTAAATGACTAAAATGTAAATGCAGTAATCCAGACGGGAGATGACAAGTGCCTGGATTAGGACCTGTGCCGCTTTCTGTGTAAGTTAGGGTCGTACTCTGTGAATGTTGTAAAGCATGAACCTGCAGGATCGGGTCACTGCTTTGATGTTAGCGGAGAACGACAGGGTGTTGTCCAGGGTCACGCCAAGGTTCTTTGCACTCTGGGAGGAGGACACAATGGAGTTGTCAACCGTGATGGCGAGATCATGGAGCGGGCAGTCCTTCCCCGGGAGGAAGAGCAGCTCCGTCTTGCCGAGGTTCAGCTTGAGGTGGTGATCCGACATCCACACTGATATGTCTGCCAGACATGCAGAGATACGATTCGCCACCTGGTTATCAGAAGGGGGAAAGGAAAAAATTAAATGTGTGATTATGCAGGCTTAGTAAAGAGAGCCAAGCTTTCTGGTATTCCTCTGTCCTGGCAGAATGGGTAAAGTACATAAATCTGTCTTCGTAGGTGGCCATGGGTGGCCTCAGGGTCACAGTCAAGGTGGACCTGACTCTTCTGACTGTACTTCCACATATCTAACCAACCAGAGGGTTCATAACCAGGGTCTTACAGACACTGAGTCTCTGAGTCACATGCACAGCACAACATCTAATCTCTTCCATCTACAGAGTGGACCCTGGGGCTCCCCTTCACTCTCAACCACCAAGTCAGCCATACACCCAGCCATACAACCACACACCCAAACCGACCCACACACAATCCCATCCATCCATCCATCCATCCAGGCCACCAGCAGCATCAGCATGTGGAACTGATCATAGATCCTCATCCAACACACCCAGAGCAAATAGCAACTAGCTGGCCATAAACAGATCAGGTTCTGCTTATAGAGAGAGAGAGAGGAGAGAGAGAGAGAGAGAGAGAGAGAGAGAGAGAGAGAGAGAGAGAGAGAGAGAGAGAGAGAGAGAGAGAGAGAGAGAGAGAGAGAGAGAGAGAATTAATGATTAATTATTCTCACCGACTTCCAAAGAGCAATTCAATCTCTGGCTGCCAAAGCGTGCGCAGCATTCTGTCCTGGTTATTTCATCATAAATGTTGATGTATATGCGCCAGACCTCTAGACTTAATCACAACAGCATCTCGACTTGCATGCTTCCAAGGGTATTCTCAGATATAGGAATGGGGAAGACTATACTATTTGGTTGAGAAGAATAGCAGAGCTTTTAAACTCCCTGGCAGATATAATTGTGTCCCCAAGATTGCCCACAAGAGGACACTGTTGTTAATCTACAATACATGCTACAGTGATGACAAAAGTGAAACCATGTCACGTGGTACATTTTTTATACTAGGGAAGTTGCTCAATCTTGGAAATAACATTTGTTTTAGAGTACTCAAATGAACAAGGAAGTACATATAAAAACGATTTATACTCTATGCGTTACCGAGGTAAGCGCCATGAATGACAATTGTAACATGACATTGTAGCGCTTGCCTTTGAAGTGTTTCCTCATGATGGAAAAAATAACTGTAGAACATGTGTGATCATTCTTTTTCAGGATGAGCAACACAATAACATCGGCTACATTTATTCGGAACCTCAACTATGGGGTTCGACGAAAACTGTCTGACTTCTTGGACCCTCAAGACAGCTGGAAATACGTTATTGTTTCAATACATAAACCCACAGGGGAGCCGAGGTACTCTCAGCAACATCTAAGGTAATGTGCCAATCAGCTACTTCTCTGATGGGGGTGACACCATTGCCATCATAACAAATTGTTACTTTCTATCAAGCCTGCAGGATATTTTGTAACATGTTTTGGGTTGTTTTTTTCTCTTATGTACTGCTCTATTCTTGAACAAACCTTCATATGACAGGCGATTTGAAGCAGTAGTTTTACAGGGGAGAAGTCCTACCATGGAGCTACTGAATGACTGGGGGACATCTAACAGCACTGTGGGAGAGTTAGTGGACATTTTGATGAGCCACAGGTTAATGGCTGCAGCCAGTATTCTGCTACCAGGTAGGCTACCACAGTAGTCAATATGCAATAGATCAAGGATTTTCTAGCATATTGACTGCCTATTAATCTCTGGTCTGATCTTTGTGTGTATTTATTTCCACAGTGTCCTGTCATAATTTTGTATCTAAATTCAATGTTTTACCCAGATGCAATAAACAACCCCCGTCCAGCAGTCCCCCAGCCATCTGATTCTCCCAGAGACAAAGAGATGATAGGCAACAACGATGCTGCAACAAGACCCCTGGGGAGGACAGAGGTACAGACAAAGGAACAGCCACCACCAGACAGCACCTCAGAGCCACAGGAGGACCAGGATCCCAATGACACTGCAGGTGGACTAATGTTGTATAGCCTGCATATAAATGTGTTATAATCACTGGAAGTGTAATGAGTGTCCAGAACATAGTAATACATGTGGTTATATAGATTCTATATAGATTAGCTTTATAGGTTATTTTACTTGTGGTTTAATGAGATACATATAGTGACAGGATACTGTTATAGATCGTGTTTAGTGAGATGAACTGTGTAAAGTAGGCCTATTAGACAAATCGATTGAACCTATTCAGACGTGTGTCACAATACACACAACATCCAGTAGATGGCAGCATATGTGCAGTGCTCAATAAACTATAGTACTGTACTAAGAATTCTCCTCATAAACAGGTTTGTTCATTGATCCTTAGGTTTTCTCAGGCTTTCTTTCCATGAGCTGAAGAAGATAACTGGTAATTTTGACGAGAGGCCAGTGGGTGACGGTGGGAGCAGACTTGGTGAGGGCGGCTTTGGAACGGTCTACAAAGGCCTCATCAATGACAAACCTGTGGCAGTGAAGAAACTACACTCAGTAGGTGCTATTATTCTCTCTGCCAATAACACCTTATTGTTTGTTCAATGTATGAGTTGAGTTGTTGTCCATGTTTAATTATCCAGCACATTCTCAAAGGTGACTAAAACTTCTGTTACCTTCTTTTAAGATGGAAGATATCTCACTTAAAGAGCTAAGTGTTCAGTTCATTCAAGAGGTCCAAACTCTTATGGTGTAAGTGTTTATTTTCTACTCGTCCATTGTTGTTTTGTGAGGAGTCCTTGTAAGCTAGCTGACCTACTGTGCGACCACTTCATTACAGCTCTAATTCATTAACGGAAGCAATAGCTTGCGTGTGCTCAATATCTCAATCTGACAATGAATCTACTTTTTATGTCTCCACTGTAATAAAATCAACAGAGAAATATCCTGAGCGACCTGTCTTAGAGAGGGACTACTTAGGAACTCTCCAGAGATTGGTTTTAGATTGAATAGGTTTTATTTACCTTCAACTATCTTTAAAGTTTAAAGAACAGGCTACTGTTTGTTTGATAAGAGCCCTCTTGTTTTCACAGGTTGAAACATGAAAACCTGGTAGACATGGTTGGCTTTTCACGCGATGGCCATCACCCCTGTTTGGTGTATGCTTACATGTCCAATGGTTCGTTGCTAGATCGTCTGGCTTGCTTGGTAAGCATACAGACTGTACCATATCCGCCTGGCATATCTATTTGCTTTCTTACTTTATTTATACAGAATCATTGAGATAAAATATATTTTGCAAGAGATACCTTTTACAGGTACTTGCTCTTTGTGAATATGTTTATGTAATTGTAGGATGGTAGCCCTCCTCTTTCCTGGCACAGGAGATGTTTGATTGCTGTGGGAACAGCCAGAGGCTTAGATTATCTGCACAGCAATCACCATGTCCACAGAGATGTCAAGAGGTAACTGTGGACATTTTTTATAATGTATTTCCTATGGCACTTAATCACATTTTAGACATTTTAATAATGGATAGACAACCTTGTCAGATCAGTCTCAATATTATTAATGAGTGCTAAATAATTTCTATCTGGCAGTGGTAATATTTTGCTGAATGAATTGCTTGTGCCGAAGATCTCCGACTTTGGGCTGACCCGAGCCTCGGCCACGCGATCGTCATCGACAGTGATGACAGAGAGGATTGTGGGTACAACAGCATACATGGCAAACGAGGCACTCAGGGGCGAGATCACTCCCAAATCTGACATCTACAGTTTTGGAGTGGTGAGTTGTTCTTTACAGCTACACAAATGTATGAAACTAACACAATGCGCAGACATTATACAATACAGTGTGAAATCCACACCGCATTGATTGGATGATCATCTTAGCGACAACACATGACAAGTGCAATTGACCCTTCACTAAGCCCCAGCAACTGTCGCCAAGTCCGACACCTCGGACAAGCTCACATTTAAATCGCATGAAAACCAGTGAGGGTTATGGCAAAAACAGAGTTTTCTTCAAAATATGTATGTTTAAATGGCTAAATAATTGAACAGTTCACCAGGAATACTTACTACTGTGATTCCTGAAATGCAGAGCCTGTTGATGGAGTATTTTTCAAATCCGAAATTATACTTTTGTTACATTGTTTGCTAGCTCAGCTGGTTAGCTAGCTCTCCGTCTTATTGACCACCAACGTTGCTAACGCTAGCTAGCCACTTAATATAACTTGTTTCCTCAAAATGTATGTTAGCTAGCTAAGTTAGCAATGTTATGAATATAACTCCCATCTGCTGTCGACCATCAGGATACAATTTGAGAGCACTAGTTAGCTCCAAAAAGTGGTTATAGCTTTGACTGCATGCTGACAGTGAATTCAGAGCCATTCATTTACATTTTGGTCATTTAGCAGACGCTCTTATTCAGAGTGCATACTTTTTCATACTGGTTGATTCCCCTGTGGGAATCAAAGCCAAAACCCTGGTGTTGAAAGTGCCATGCTCTACCTACTGAGCTACACAGGACCAGTGGCTACAGTTGCTACACTACAAACATCATTTTACCAGGTTCCCATTAAGTCATTATAATGACAGTCCACCACAACATACCCAAGATTTTCCTGATTAGCAAGGGGTGGTATGTGTTTAATTTCATTGTGTATTAGAAACACAGTTTGAGATCATTGTTAGGGGATTTCGCTAGTGGTTGAATGGGGAATTGGGCTGCCCGGGAAAAAGTTCGAGATTGCAACAGTAACCAAGAGGGGCTTAGCGAAGGGTCAATTGAGACAGCACCTCATATGGCTAAACCACTCGCATTATGCCAAACAGGTAGTGTTAGAGTATTGCCTTTCACACTATCACTTTAAAGACCTAAATATAGCCCAGAAGATACAGTGACAAGAATATTGAATTTATTGAGAAACTGTAACGTAAGTAAAACTCATAAAACTGAATTGTCAGTTCAGCAGTTTACCTCAGTGCCAGACTCCATAAACTACTGACACACATAATTGTTGGACCCTTAAGTCAGAATCATGCACCTTTGTCAGTCTACCAGCCAATTAACTTCACATTTAAATCCCAGTAAAGGTACTCCTCCTCAGTGATACATAAAAAAAACATGTTGGTAAATGTTGATTTAGGCTAATAATGGAACATGTGGGAACAGTACTGTATGACATAAATTATGTATTCTAATGTCAGCAGTCTAATATGAGGTCAGGTCATCTGTGTGTTGAACTGGTTGAACCTGGTCATAAACCAACAGCTACTGTCTGTGTTCAGCCTGACAGCCCTGGGAACAGTATCTTAGATATAGCATGCTATATTATTAATGGAGAGTTATAAAGGCCTGTTGTTTGCTGGAGCTGGAGCCAGGTGGTTAATCTAAGGTTTCTGTCATCTACAGGTGTTGCTAGAAATATTGTCTGGACTCCCGCCAGTCGATGAAAACCGTGACCCTAAGTTCCTGGTGAGCAAAGCAGCACAATGGAAGCTTTCTCTAAACTCTTCAGACTTCACTATCCCCCAATACAGTACACATGAATGCATGTTATCTAAAGAAAGAAAAGGATTTACTATACAGTATCGATCAAAAAGCCAGCGATTTGTGCAGCAAATACTTACTAACTTTCTACTCTTTGCTCCCTGTGGAGCTTAAGGCCACATACATTATAGATGTCAGTGCTTTATTTCTCTTGTCTGTCAGTGTACACTACCGGTCAAAAGTTTTAGAACACCTACTCATTCAAGGGTTTTTCTTTATTTTTACTATTTTCTACATCGTAGAATAATAGTGAAGACATCAAAACTATGAAATAACACATATGGAATCATGTAGTAACCAAAAAAGTGTTAAACAAATCAAAATATATTTGACATTTTTCAAATATCCCCCCTTTGCCTTGATGACAGCTTTGCACACTCTTGGCATTCTATCCACCAGCTTCATGAGGTAGTCACCTGGAATGCATTTCAATTAACAGGTGTGCCTTCTTAAAAGTTAATTTGTGGAATTTCTTCTTAATGCGTTTCAGCCAATCAGTTGTGTTGTGACAAGGTAGGGTGGCTATACAGAAGGTAGCCCTATTTGGTAAAAGACCAAGTCCATATTATGGCAGGAACAGCTCAAATAAGCAAAGAGAATCGACAGTCCATCATTACTTTAAGACATGAAAGTAAATCAATACGGAAAATGTCAAGAACTTTGAAAGTTTCTTCAAGTGCAGTCGCAAGAACCATCAAGTGCTATGATGAAACTGGCTCTCATGAGGACCGCCACAGGAAAGGAAGACCCAGAGTGACCTCTGCTGCAGAGGATAAGTTCATTAGTTACCAGCCTCAGAAATTGCAGCACAAATAAATGCTTCACAGAGTTCAAGTAACAGACACATCTCAACATCAACTGTTCAGAGGAGACTGCGTGAATCAGGCCTTCATGGTTGAATTGCTGCAAAGAAACCACTACTAAAGGACACCAATATGAAAAAGAGACTTGCTTGGGCCAAGAAACACGAGCAATGGACATTAGTCCGGTGGAAATGTGTCCTTTGGTCTGGAGTCCAAATTTGAGATTTTTGGTTCCAACCGCCGTGTCTTTGTGAGACGCAGAGTAGGTGAACGGATGATCTCCGCATGTGTATTTCCCACCATAAAGCATGGAGTATGAAGTGTGATGGTGTGGGGGTGCTTTGCTGGTGACACTGTGATTTATTTAGAATTCAAGGCACACTTAACCAGCATGGCTACGACAGCCTTCTGCAGCGATACGCCATCCCATCTGGTTTGGGCTTAGTGGGACTATCATTTGTTTTTCAACAGGACAATGACCCAACACACCTCCAGGCTGTGTAAGGGATATTTTACCAAGAAGGAGAGTGATGGAGTGCTGCATCAGATGACCTGGCCTCCACAATCCCCCGACCTCAACCCAATTGAGATGGTTTGGGATGAGTTGGACCGCAGAGTAAAGGAAAAGCAGCCAACAAGTGCTCAGCATATGTGGGAACTCCTTCAAGACTGTTGGAAAAGCATTCCAGGTGAAGCTGGTTGAGAGAATGCCAAGAGTGTGCAAAGCTGTCATCAAGGCAAAGGGTGGCTATTTGAAGAATCTCAAATGTAAAATATGATTTGATTTGTTTAACACTTTTTTGGTTACTACAGGATTCCATATGTGTTATTTCATAGTTTTGGTGTCTTCACTATTATTCTACTACGAAGAAAATATAGAAAATAAAGAAAAACCCTTGAATGAGTAGGTGTTCTAAAACTTTTGACCGGTAGTGTAGTTACCACTGCAGGCAGTGGCTGATGGATGTGTGTGTGTTTCTGCTGTTTCTTGTTATGACTGTTATGATTTGTTATGGCTGTCATAGATGGAGATGAAAGATGAGATTGATGAGGAGGAGATGGCCCTGGAAGACTTTGTGGACAAGAGGATGACAGACTGGGACCTGCCATTGGTGGAGAAGACCTACTTCTTAGCCAGCGACTGTCTCAATGACAAGAAGAACAAACGGCCACGAATGGAAGAGGTGTGTGACGCTATTACAGTTGGTGGCACTTTAGTTTACGGTACTGTTTCCACTGGTATACAGTAGCAATGGGTACTTTGTGGTGCTTAGCTGTTAGTGATCAACACAATCGCTTACAAGCTGGGAGCCAATGGTTACTACTAGCTGCTTATGGTCTTTATCACATTGAAATGTCAATATTTTAATAGGTCCTGACAGAGCTTGAAGATGTTGTCAAAAGCATTTCACTGGAACAGCTGGGACCCAAGAGTGACGCATAGACAACATGAAGAACGACTATTCCTCCCTCGTTTTCCTTAAACGAGTTTACTTTGCTTAAGAAAAGGACCAAACATGTTACACCAGTCTTATTTTGTATTTTTGGCCAAAATAATAAACAGAATATTTATTTTCCATTGTTCCAACTTTGTTGAATTGCTTGATATGTACTGTAAGTATGTCATTAGACAACAGTGGCTGTAAAGGCATAGATGTAAAAAAATTAATAAAATAAATAAATAGGCCATTCAATGTGTGATTTAAATATTTTTATTTTCCTTTTTAGAAAGTAACTGTTTTAAGCAAAATAAACAATTTAAGACCAAACATGACACTTCTCATGAGAAGGTATTCCCTTTTCCGAAGATGAGGTGTTAAACTAGTGGTTTGCCTTAATAATCAGTAGACAAGTGACTGTGGCAGAAACAGATTCCATTTGATATCCCATCCCCGTCTCTGGGACTCCCACCCTGCATGCACACCATATGAAACTTAGCTTCCTCTGAAGGAGTAATCTGCGATGTATCAATGATGTGAAATACTGGAAGCCCCTGTTCTCTCTCTGTCACATGACCCTCGTTGACACCAGATAAGATGATCAGTACAGACAAGACCTTTAATCACATATGTATATGTACAGCACTTGCATAGAAAAATACATTTCTCAGCAGATGTGTTTTATGTAAACCAAAGTTCTATCAAAAAAGAAGAATTTCCAATATAAAAAACCCGCACTGTATTAAAATGAAGAATGATACGAGCAAATATGACATATTTTGAGGTTTGGACCTCTTCTAGTTGTGCACACATAACGATGGAGACGTTTGTCTCAACTTTGGGCCAGGAAACAACAAATTGAGAGGAATGCAAGGAACAATTGCAAGCATGTGAACAACTCATGGATGGTTCATTACATTGGCACAAATTCACATTAGTCGCACTAACATTTTTGTCTCAGCAACAGTGTAAAAACCTTTCTTACTCAACTTGTTCTAACCTCTGAATAGCACAGTAAAATAATTTGTGAATGAATGCAGAGAGAGATATATATATATATATATATATATATATATATATCCTTCCATTTGACAGGCTACAAATGGATATTCTCAAGTGTGTGTCTCAGCTAAGTTGTCCTTTGGTGTGCATAGTTCAGTCTCTGGATGGGCTTTAAGGGTTTCGAAGAAGAGAGGTTGCCTCAAATAAGCTTTCCCTCCATGATCACATGGAATGTTCCATTATTGAGTGTGTATGGGGGAGGGTGAGGTTCGTTTAGTCGTCATCTTCTCCAGCCGGTCTGGTGATGCGGTGTCCGCCCCTCTTCCCGGCAGGGCCCTTGGGCTTGGCGAAGGCCTGCTTGTGTGCATGCTGCTTGGGATGGACCTCCTCATACAGGAAGTCACCAGTCAGCTCATCCCCATTGTCTATCTCCAGCTGTGGACAGTCACACACATGAACAGTGAGGAGTTAACAAAACCAGGGTTGAAGTCAATTCCATATAAATTCAGTCAATTCAGGAAGTAAACTGAAATTCAAATTCCAAATGTTCCTAATTGAAACACATTGAGAAAAATTGGAATATGAGTGTCAATTTACTTCCTGAATATAAATTAACCCCAAACCTGAACCAAACCTACTGATACTTTCCTGAACCCTATGAAAGACCCTCTCTAAAGAAACGCATGGAACACTTTTAATGTTATTAACACCACTTTGTATTGGTTGTGTTAAAATCCTAATAAAATAGCTTGGTCTTTTGGTCCTTACCTTCTTCAAAATGTCAATTTGCATGTTGTTTTCAACCATGTCCACCAGGGGGTTTTTGCAGCTAGAATAGAGCATCCTCTCTTTGATGCTGCACTTGTATCCCGGCATGGAATAAATGAACACTGCAAAAGAGATAACAATGGAAGATGTCCCATCAGAATCACAGATATACAACATTGTGACATATAAAAAATATAAAATTCAGTGAAATATTTAAGAGATTTATGTAATGACCGCTTGGTGTCTTAAGCTGTGTTGTGCTTCTCTGTGAAAAAGTTTTTTTACCAGTGGACTCCAGGTAGTCTCCCTCGTGGGAATGTTTGTAGCGGAAGAAGTGATAGCGTGCAGACTCAGTGGGGATCCTCTTGGGCAGATCTTTCACCTCGGTCGGTTCAGTGTTAGACAACCTAATGAGCTCTTTGGCAAAGTCTATTTCCTATTGAAATGAAACCATAATGAATGAACCAGAAGACAGTAGGAAAACGACCCTCTAATAAAGTGTCATTTCAGTGTTGTGTGATTTATTGAATAGCTCTTTTGATAACCTGCCTATTATGACTTTAGAGAGAGAGGAGCGAGAACCAGGCAGTGCCAGCTCAAAGTGTCACAATTATGCCTTTGTCCCCAAATCTGATCTTGTGACACCATTCCTTGAATTTCAATGAGGAAAGCTGACAATGACGCTTTGGTCAAAAAGAGAACCACATCGTACTGTTCTCAACAAAACTCCTGACTCCAAAATTCCTTTGTCATTCTGAAGAGAAGCCTGAGTATAAAGGAGGAACATAACTTTTTCTCAACGGACTCACCTGGAAAAGCGACAGAGGGGGAGAAGTACTTACAAGTTGTACGTAGTTGACTCGTTTGTCCCTGAATCGTTCGAGTGCCTCGACAGCGTCTCCATGTATGGGGAAGGCCACTCCCTGCAGTGTCTGCTGCTTGGTGTCCACACTGATGTCAGTCTGCACCTGAACACACAGCACAGAGAAAACTATTTACAGTTTTGTTCAATTGCTTTGGTGCAATTTTCAAGAGTATATGGTCAATATGGTCAACTCTTAATACAAAACTCAAAACAGATCATCAAAAAGCACATTTTCAATTGACTAAGTACAACACACAAAATCATAGTAACTTTTTCACCTAATTTAAGTGTTTAATCTACAAATACATATTGCAATGCATGTTCATATAAAGTAATTGCCTTTCACAATGCAATGCTCACTTCACTTTTTATATAATTCTCTTCTCATTTGTTAAAATACGTTTTACTATTACTTAATCCGACTACTCCTACAGATTTTAAACTGGTTTGTCTACTACAGATTGAGAACTACATCATGAAAATGTATGTTTGTAAAGTATAAACATATAAAGTATGATATATAGTGAAATGTAACACCGGCTCCGACGCTCTTCGGATGTGGCAGGGCTTGCAAACTATTACAGACTACAAAGGGAAGCACAGCCACGAGCTGCCTAGTGACACGAGCCTACCAGACGAGCTAAATTACTTCTATGCTCGCTTCGAGGCAAGCAACACTGAAGCATGCATGAGAGCATAAGCTGTTCCGGACGACTGTGTGATCACGCTCTCCGTAGCCGATGTGAGTAAGACCTTTAAACAGGTCAACATTCACAAGGCCGCAGGGCCAGACGGATTACCAGGACGTGTACTCCGAGGATGCGCTGACCAACTTGCAAGTGTCTTCACTCACATCTTGAACCTGTCCCTGACTGAGTCTGTAATACCAACATGTTTTAAGCAGACCACCATAGTCCCTGTGCCCAAGAACACTAAGATAACCTGCCTAAATGACAATAGACCCGTAGCACTCACGTCTGTAGGCATGAAGTGCTTTGAAAGGCTGGTCATGGCTCACATCAACACCATTCTCCCAGAAACCCTAGACCCACTCCAATTTGCATACCGCCCCAACAGATCCACAGATGATGCAATCTCTATTGCACTACACACTGCCCTTTCCCACCTGGATAAATGGAACCCCTACGTGAGAATGCTATTCATTGACTACATCTCAGCGTTCAACACCATAGTGCCCTCAAAGCTCATCACTAAGCTAAGGACCCTGGGACTAAACACCTCCCTCTGCAAACTGGATCCTGGACTTCCTGACGGGCCGCCCCCAGGTCGTAAGGGTAGGTATCAACACATCTGCCACGCTGATCCTCAACACGGGGACCCCTCAGAGATGCGTGCTCAGTCCCCTCCTGTACTCCCTGTTCACCCATGACTGCATGGCCAGGCACGACTCCAACACCATTAAGTTTGCTGACGACACAACAGTGGTAGGTCTGATCACCGACAACAATGAGAGCCTATAGGGAGGAGGTCAGAGACCTGGCCGTGTGGTGCCAGGATAACAACCTCTCCCTCAATGTGATCAAGACAAAGGAGATGATTGTGGACTAAAGGAAAAGGAGGACCGAGCACGCCCCCATTCTCATTGACAGGGCTGTAGTGGAGCAGGTTGAGAGCTTCAAGTTCCTTGGTGTCCACATCAACAAACTATCATGGTCCAAACACACAAAGACAGTCGTGAAGAGGGCACGACAAAGCCTATTCCCCCTCAGGAGACTGAAAAGATGTGGCATGGGTCCTCAGACCCTCAAAAAGTTATACAGCTGCACCATCAAGAGCATCCTGACTGGTTGCATCACTGCCTGGTACAGCAACTGCTCGGCCTCCGACCTCAAGGCACTACAGAGGGTAGTGCGTACGGCCCAGTACATCACAGGGGCCAAGCTTCCTGCCATCCAGGACCTCTATACCAGGCGGTGTCAGAGGAAGGCCCTAAAAATTGTCAAAGACTCCAGCCACCAGCCACCCTAGTCAAAGACTGTTCTCTCTGCTACCGCACGGCAAGCGGTACAGGAGCGCTAAGTCTACATTATTTTTTTGTATTATAATTTTTTTAAAACATTTTTTTTGTCATTTAGCAGAGGCTCTTATCCAGAGCGACTTACAGTTAGTGAGTGCATACATTTTCATACTGGCCCCCCGTGGGAAACGAACCCACAACCCTGGCGTTGCAAGTGCCATGCTCTACCAACTGAGCAGGGGACCTATGTCTAGGTCCAAAAGGCTTCTTAACAGCTTCTACCCCCAAGCCATAAGACTCCTGAACAGCTAATCAAATGGCTCCCTGGACTATTTGCAATGTCCCCCCACCCTCCACCCCCTCTTTTACGCTGCTGCTACTCTGTTTATTATCTATGCATAGTCACTTTAACTCTACCTACATGTACAGTACCAGTCAAAGGTTTGGACACACCTTCTCATTAAAGGGTTTTTGTTTATTTTTACTATTTTCTACATTGTAGAATAATAGTGAAGACATCAAAACTATGAAATAACATGTATAGAATCATGTAGTAACCAAAAAAGTGCTAAACAAATCAAAATATATTTTAGATTTTTCAAATAGCCACCCTTTGCCTTGATGACAGCTTTGCACACTCTTGGCATTCTCTCAACCAGCTTCACCTGGAATGCTTTTCCAACAGTCTTGAAGGAGTTCCCACATATGCTGAGCACTTGTTGGCTGCTTTTCCTTCACTCTGCAGTCCGACTCAACCCAAACCATCTCAATTAGGTTGAGGTCGGGGGATTGCTGGTTAAGTGTGACTTGAATTCTAAATAGATCACAGACAGTGTCACCAGCAAAGCACCCCCACACCATAACAACACCTCCTCCATGCTTTACGGTGGGAAATACACATGCAGAGATCATCCGTTCACCCACACCGCATCTCACAAAGCCACAGCGGTTGGAACCAAATATCTCCAATTTGGACTCCAGACCAAAGGACAAATTTCCCTGTCTAATATCTATTGCTCGTGTTTCTTGGCCCAAGCAAGTCTCTTCTTCTTATTGGTGTCCTTTAGTAGTGGTTTCTTTACAGCAATTCGACCATGAAGGCCTGATTCACACAGTCTCACCTGAACAGTTGATGTTGAGATGTGTCTGTTACTTGAACTCTGTGAAGCATTTATTTGGGCTGCAATTTCTGAGGCTGGTAACTCTAATGAACTTATCCTCTGCAGCAGCAGTAACTCTGGGTCTTCCATTCCTGTGGCGGTCCTCATGAGAGCTAGTTTCATCATAGCGCTTGATGGTTTTTGCAACTGCACTTGAAGAAACTTTCAAAGTTCTTGACATTTTCTGGATTTATTGACCTTCATGTCTTAAAGTAATGATGGACTGTCGTTTCTCTTTGCTTATTTGAGCAGTTCTTGCCATAATATGGACTTGGTCTTTTACCAAATAGGGCTATCTTCTGTATACCCCCCCCTACCTTGTCACAACACAACTGATTGGCTCAAACGCATTAAGGAGGAAAGAAATTACACAAATTAACTTTTAAGAAGGCACATCTGTTAATTGAAATGCATTCCAGGTGACTACCTCATGAAGCTGGTTGAGAGAATGCCAAGAGTGTGCAAAGCTGTCATCAAGGCACAGGGTGGCTCATTTGAAGAATCTAAAATATTTTGATTTGTTTAACACTTTTGGTTACTACATGATTCCATGTGTTATTTGATCGTTTTGATGATATTATTCTACAATGTAAAAAATGGTAAAAAGAAAAGAAAAACCCTTGAATGAGTGTACATATTACCTCAATTACCTCGACTAACCTGTGCCCCCGCACATCGACTCTGTACTGGTACCCCCTGTATATAGCCTCGCTACTGTTATTTTACTGCTGCTCTTTAATTAATTAATTTGTTTACTCATCTATTTTTTACTTAACACTTATTTTTCTTAAAACTGAATTTTTGGTTAAGGGCTTGTAAAGTAAGCATATCACTGAAAGGTCTACATCTGTTGTATTCGGCACATGTGACAAAAAACATTTGATTTGATGTACTATAATGATGACTATTATGATTTCACTTCAAAGTAAGTTTAAAAAATCTGATAGACAAGATCAGAGATGTACTGTATGTAACAAATGCATCCCCTATACAGTACACGTATCCAAAATGAAGTCGCTGTGGTAGTTTTGATTACAATACAGGTGGAAGGTGTATGATTGCCAATCACATGAACGTGCCACACTCCTTCAGGCCATTGATGAGGCATGCGATGACATCAAGGCGGACCAGGTCAGGCTTGGATTCGCCATTCCAAACGTTTTTTCCCCAGGTTTATGAACAATTAGGACATTTACTGCGATGTCGATGAGAACCTATGGCCAAATGCTCAACACAGGCTTGATGTAAACTAGTGCCTGCTAAACATGTTTCTTTCACTTGATTACAGTACACCTATGTTGTAATTATATCTACATTTATTTTTTGCATCAATGATTGTGAAAGATGCCTTCAATGATCACACATGGGATAGAAATTAAGTAAATTCTGTCAAAATGTATGAGTAGTGCAAGTGTATTGTCTAATGTGAAAACAGTTTAATCTACTGCAATTTACAGTACTGTAGCATATTACATACAAAGGGGAATTTTGAAACATGCATCTTGCATATTTTGCTATTGGATTAACTGGTTGGAAATAACTAAATTGAGAAGATATCACTGTGTTGTGTTTTGATTATTAAATCAATGTTCTCATGGTATTTTACAGTAAACGTATATTTTGGATCAATGGTTGTGTGGTGAAAGATGTCTTCAAACACTGTACTAAGAGTTTTGAAAATTCACCACACTTGTGAAAATAGCACCAAAGCGATTGAAAAAACTAAAACAACTTTACCTTTACCATAGTCAACACGCAGCTCACTAGTGCTTGTGCTAGTGGTTCAATCAATTTGATCATTTTCATATAACCAGGAAGTCCCTTTGAGGTCATAAGATATCTTTCCTTAGGAAGACCAGGCCACCTTAAATTAATATGAAGCAAATACAAGGCAAAATTATCTAGAACATGCATCCCCTCTCAGATTCTCCACATTGGGGATAATGACTCATGTGGTTGATATTTCTATATCTGGACAGGAGACACTGGAGTGATGAGGCACCTTCTAAATCACCTTAAATACTGGAAATGGAAGGGGATTATACTGGATGGATTGTATCTATTTTTAGTGCTCTGTTTGTTCCCTCTGAATGAAAGGCTGTCAGTTATGTACACATGATTGAGCAACTGATGCAGTGCACCCACCTCATTTACCAAAAGGATTGTGGGTTTTATCCATCCACTTAGTCAAAGCAGTCTCTCTCGCTCTCTAGGCAAATGAATGATAAATACATATTTCAAAGCCACTTTGCTCCCACACAGATTAATGTTGGTATTATCTTCCTTCAACAACTTGGAGAAATGCTACCCTTACTTCCTGTTTTCTCCCTTCTAGATTTTTACTGGCTGTATTTAGGAGTGTGACGGACTGCTTCTCAGATTACTTCCTTTTATGGAGTTGGAGACCGGTCTTGTTTATGTGACAGACAGACCGGGTGCACTCTGCACAGCAATAATGTTGTTTCCTCTTTAAAGAACTCACAGTGGTTTGAGTTGAGGCTGAGCTTTTAAAGATAGTAACCTGTGCTTCTATGTGTTACTTATTTTTGGTTAATCACATTTTATATCGAAACACCAGACAAAAGCAAACTAGCATCATCCTTATTAGTGGCAAGTAAAGCATTGGGCTATCACATAGCAGTGTACCCCTAATCTTATCAGTGGAGCCAAGCACAGGCACAGTGGTGTGACCTTGACCAAGTGCTCTCCCATGCAGAATCAATGCAAAGTATTGAATGATCATTCATCATCAACATTCAAGGGTGGCCCCTCATAACATTTTAGTGCAAGACCTGTGCTTCAGTGAGACAACATCTATGCTTACAATGCATCATGACATTTCTGTCAAAAACAACCCATTTATAAACCTATGAGTCTCGACCCATACAGGACTAATAGTCATATCTGCCAACATCCTGTAGTTCCAATGCATCAGCACCTTTCCAGTGACTCTTCGTGCCAGGTCGGCATTATGCACAGCTGTACTGCTGACATTGTGGTCTACGGGGGGGGGGAAGGTATCACCAGCCGTCATTAATATTCAACACTGTGTCTTTTGGATTGAACACAATTAAAAGCGGATGCTATGAGTTTATTGTGAAAGAGGCTCTCTCTATGAATTGCCCTGAGTGGTCAGAACCACTCACTTCATGAGCTTTTAATTCCATATTAAGACAGGTTTGCCTACAATACATGTCTTAGTTGAAATAAATGGGTGTGGATTAAAACCTTTAACACTTTAAACCAACAAAATGACTTTTACACAGAATTACTATGTAAACATCACAGGAAGTGTGAATACCATTCTCTCTCTCTGTGTGTGTGTGCGTACCTCACTGAGTTTGATCCGCCTCAGCTCCTCCTCGGCAGCAGTGAGTGGTAGTGGTGCTGCCTCGGCCACCAGGTACTTCTTGTAGCCCTTCAGAGACATATCCTCCTGGGAGTGCGGGGAGAAACAGGAGGGAAGAGAGGACCACATAACAGTTAGCCATCTATTTACAACTACTATTCACGTACAATACATATTTGACAATACTTGACTCTCCATCTTATATGTGTGATTATGTGAATGCCAAATTACCGATGAGCTTTTTAAAACAATCTCATTCTGGAAAGTTCTTCAATGTTTATGCCTCTACTTGAGTAGAAAAAAAGGACACATTTCCATTACAATAATCGTTGAATGGCAAAGCAGACAGCAAATCAGATCCTCAGAGTATGAGGATTTCACAACCCAATCTAACACAGATAATCTAACCAACCTTTGTGGTGCCAAAGACCTCATCTTTGATAAGTCCCCCACCAAATTCTTTCTTCACTGTGGCCCTGGTAGCAGCATATAACATCTTATGTCGCACCTGTTTGAAATAGAATGTATTAGTGAATACACCAAGGGGTACAGTCTCTTTACATGCATCTATTCCATCCCCTTTCTATAACTCTCAATGACATGCAGTGATTTTACTCTTGTTGTTTTACACAATTCTTTATTATTTTCTTGCTAACTCAACACAGGCTTCCATTCTTTTTCCAGAGGATAGCAAACTGTGCCTGGATAAGCACCAGATAAATGCAGCCCATTTGGATGTTCCAGTCTTAAAACATGTGCAAGCCTGGACCTGTGGCACGCCGCCTCCGGATAGTGGGATGGAATGTCGAGCCCTGCCAGTCTGTTAGAATAGGATGCTATGCTATAATCTCTCTACCACATGATCTTGATCTTGGTACAACCAAAAGAATGCCAGTCACATGTATCACCCTGTCCCTGCAACATTCGTCAGTCTTAATTGAACCACTTCAGTCAATCAGGTAGATCTCAATTTATCTTATTCTCGGTCATTACATCAATCTGCAACGGTTGTGATGTTATCTGTATTAAGAGCAGGCCAAAAGCTAAATGTCACATTTGCACTACACTACAGCACAAACTACACATAGGCTAACAAACAGTTGAGCACTAATGGCTGGAATGGCGCTGGAATGGATAGCTGCCGTTTTACGGGCTCCTGACTAATTATGCTATTTTGTGTGGTTTTTTTGCGTTGATTTTAACCATCATTTCCTATGACCGAAATAACTTCTGGACATCAGAACAGCGATCACTAACCTCGATTTGATTGAAGATTTCTACTTACAATGAGTCGGCGACACTGGACATACTGCTCACCCCGGACCAGGCCCTAATCCCCGAGACTCAGAAGAGAAGGAGACGGCACAAGAGACGCCGATGTGCGGGCACCTTGACGAAACTACGTTGGCGAGTAGATAAACAGCCTCTACCCTCCGTTCTATTGGCGAATGTACAATCACTGGAGAACAAACTGGACGAGCTCCGTTCGAGACTATCCTATCAACGGGACCTGAAGAACTGTAATATCCTATGTTTCTCAGAGTAGTGGCTGAACAATGACATGGATAATATACATCTAGCTGGTTTTTCTATGCATCGGCAGGACAGAACGGCAGCATCGGGTAAGCTCAAGGGGGACGTGTGTGTCTCTTTGTTAACAGCTGGTGTGCGATCTCTAATATTAAGGAAGTCTTGAGGTTCTGCTCGCCTGAGTTAGAATACCTCATGAAAAGCTGTAGACCATACTAAGAGTTTTCATCTACATTTTTCGTAGCTGTCTATTTACCACCACAAACCAATGCCAGAACTAAGACCGCACTCAACGAGCTGTATAGGGCCATAAGCAAACAAGAAAATGCTCATCCATAGCTCCTAGCGGCCGGTGATTTTAATGCAGGAATCTGAAATCCATTTTACCCCATTTCTACCGGCATGTCACCTGTGCAACTAGAGACTAAAAAACTCTATCACCTTTAATCCACACACAGAAACGCATACAAAGCTCTCCCTCGCCGTCTATTTGGCTAATCTGACCATAACTCTATCCTGACTCCTGCTTACAAGCAAAAACAGGAAATACCAGTGACGTGCCCAATAAGGAAGTGCTCTGATGAAGCGGATGCTAAGCTACAGGACCGTTTCACTAGCACAGACTAAAATATGTTCCTGATTCATCTGATGGCATTGAGTTTACCACATCAGTCACCGGCTTCATTAATAAGTGCATCAATGACGTCGTCCCCACTGTATATCCGACCAGACGAGCTAAATGCCTTCTATTCTCGCTTCGAGGCAAGCAACACTGAACCATGTTTGAGAGCACCAGGTGTTCTGGATGACTGTGTGATCACACTCTCCATAGCCGATGTGAGTACGACCTTTAAAAACAGGTTAACGTTCACAAGGCCAAGGGCCAGACGGATTACCAGGACGCGTACTCGGAGCATGCGCTGACAAGCTGGAAAGTGTCTTCACTGACATTTTCAACCTCTCCCTGACCCAGGCAGTGGGAGAACCTATTCAAGAAAGTAAATTGTATTTTTTTAATATATAAAAAAATACAATGTATTATTAGGTAGCTAGCTAGCTGGCTAGAGTAGGCCACTTTGTAGGCTAACTCAACTGAGCTGCTAGCTAGCAAACTATACACACTATTTAGCTAAGTGAATTAAATGTCTGCAGATAGCTAACTTCCTATTAGCTAGCTATCTTGATGTAATCATTATAAATGCATTTGTAGATAACAGCCACGGAAGAGGGTGACATTGCAGCTCCAGCTGTCAGTAAAGGGAGAGTGTAGGCTACTGGATAGTGCAGTTAACTTTGTGGGAGGACATAATGAAAATATTATCCAGTTCCAGTCCCTAGAGGGGAAAACTATGAGGACAGAGATAATAGCAACAATGATGTCTAATTTAAGTTTAATGAAGCCTGTTTCTTTGTGATGTTTTCTGTCCTCATATGGAAAGCTGTGAAAGCCTGTTTGCAGATGACGAGAGAGGTCCCAATGAATGTCCCAAGAGACTAAGGGTATATCCTATATGTCATAGGTTATATGTGTAGGCCTACCTACACTACCGGTCAAAAGTTTGGACACACCTACTCATTCAAGGGTTTTTCTTTATTTTTAGTATTTTTTACATTGTAGAATAATAGTGAAGACATCAACACTATGAAATAACACATATGGAATCATGTAGTAACCAAAAAAAGTGTTAAACTAATCAAAATATATTTTATATTTGAGATTCTTCAAATAGCCACCCTTTGCCTTGATGACAGCTTTGCACACTCTTGGCATTCTCTCAACCAGCTTCATGAGGTAGTCACCTGGAATGCATTTCAATTAACAGATGTGCCTCCTTAAAAGTTAATTTGTGGAATTTCTACAGCCTACAGCCCTTTAGCGACTCAAAACGTTTTTTTTATAGTATTTATGAAACAAGGCAACTAATTACAGTATAACGTTATTTATTTTGTATAGGTAAAGATGGATGGAGACAAAGGCAGGTACACTTACATTACCTCCCTACAGAGGACGCCGCTGACAGCTCTGATAAGGTCAGGCTCATTGCAGACCAGCATGTTGAGGAAGAGGACCATGAAGGCATTGGTTTATTTGCCAATGCCTTTTATTATTATTATGTACTATTAGGCCTACACTACCGGTCAAAAGTTTTAGAACACCTACTCATTCAAGGGTTCTACATTGAAGAATAATAGTGAAGACATCAAAACTATGAAATAACACATATGGAATCATGTAGTAACCAAAAACGTGTTAAACAAATCAAAAAATATATTATATTGGAGATTCTTCAAATAGCCACCCTTTGCCTTGATGACAGCTTTGCACACACTTGGCATTCTCTCAACCAGCTTCATGAGGTAGTCACCTGGAATGCATTTCAATTAACAGGTGGGCCTTCTTAAAAGTTAATTTGTGGAATTTCTTTCCTTCTTAATGCGTTTGAGCCAATCAGTTGTGTTGTGACAAGAAGATAGGCCTATTTGGTAAAAGACTAAGTCCATATTATGGCAAGAACAGCTCAAATAAGCAAAGAGAAACAACAGTCCATCATTACTTTAAGACATGAAGGTCAGTCAATACGGAACATTTCAAGAACTTTGAAAGTTTCTTCAAGTGCAGTCGCAAAAACCATCAAGCGCTATGATGAAACTGGCTCTCATGAGGACCGCCACAGGAATGGAAGACCCAGAGTTACCTCTGCTGCAGAGGATAAGTTCATTAGAGTTACCAGCCTCAGAAATTGCAGCCCAAATAAATGCTTCACAGAGTTCAAGTCACAGACACATCTCAACATCAACTGTTCAGAGGGGACTGAGTGAATCAGGCCTTCATGGTCGAATTGCTGCAAAGAAACCACTACTAAAGGACACCAATAAGAAGAAAAGACCTGCTTGGGCCAAGAAACACAAGCAATGAACCGGTGGAAATTTGTCGTTCGGTCTGGATGATCTCCGCATGTGTAGTTCCCACCGTAAAGCATGGAAATATATTTTGATTTGTTTAACACTTTTTTTTTGGTTACTACATGATTCCATTTGTGTTCTTTCATAGTTTTGATGTCCTCACTATTATTCTACAATGTAGAACTTTTGACTGGTACTGTATATTAGCAAATGTTGTATACAGAAATACAGTTAAAGATCACACACAATGTACAAACCTATTATAATTGGAGCAGGCCAGCCCTCCTGGAGGTCTGCTGGGTGTGCAGTTATTTTTCAGCCCAGCAATAACACACCTGATTCAACTTCTCAACTCTAATGAGTTGATAATCTAGTGTGCTATTGCTCAGCTGGAATAGAAGTCTACTCACCCAGTAGATCATAGATCAGGGCTCAGTGGAGCAAGATTGGCCAACACTGGTATGGAGTTCTTTTTGTTTACCTGAAATGATGCTTTAGTAAAAATAGCCTACTGGTTACTACTCAATGATCTATTGTTTAGACTAAGCTAGTCTAGATCTTTACATACGAGTTTGTACATTTGTACATTATTTGTACATTTGAAGTGATGAAGTGTTGATTCTTTGAAGTGAAGTGTTTCAACTTGTTTTAATTGTTAAACTATTATTCTAAATGAACTAGTGTTAATGTTGATTAATCATATAATCCTGCAATAAAGAGGGGAGGAGGTTCTGTGTCTGTGTTTCTGTGTTGTTTTCTCAAATTAACATTTTATTTTTGTCTAGTTGTAAGACCTCCAATATCAGCTATGTGAATCCATTTTACAGCTTATCATATGGCATGCATACCCAATGCATCCATAGGCCTACAGTATGATGGCATTCCTGGCCTTGTGGGCATCTGAAGCAGAAAATAGCTAAACTCACACATTGTTTACATGTTGAGCTATATGTTCAATTTAAAATGACACCAGTAGACAATGTATAGGAGGGCAAACCATATACCCGATTTTGTACAAGCCTTTTAAGTGCTGACATAAAATTGTTTAGTGCAAATCCAACCCTTGTAATTTAGGTACAGTATGAAAATAAGGAGATGACAATCAGGCTACAGGAGATGAGCATTACAGGTAACATTTTATGAGGTTCATTTTCTTTCATTCATTTTAGCAATGTTGCTTGCAAAATGATTGCAGTTGTTCCCATAGATAGACAGTACATGGTTGGTCTAAGTATCACTGACCCTAGATAAGCTAGAGGTTGGGCTAACACAGCTATTAACCTTTTAGGTCAATAATATGCTGTTTTTAATCAACATTTTGTTGGCTTTATAATCATGAGAGAAATGTAACTATCAAGTAGCTAGCTAGTTAGTTATACCTAGGTAGCTTACAAGGTTAGCTGACTTTTCTCAAAACGAACCTCATTGTGGCTTGCTACTTCTTGTCCCTCATGCTAGCATTTACAGCCAAATATCTCCCACCGCACACCCCCTCTTTGTGCTTCTCTGCCTGTGTGTGCGACATTGCTGTGACAGCTTCTCCCACTCTCATTTGTTGCAGAATTGAGTGGGAGAAGTTGCTAAATGCTATCAAATCCATTGAAACCATCGATGTCAAAACTCCCCAAAGGCAGCCTAAAAAACATTTTTAGTCCTCACGCACCGTTGCTCCTACGACACTAATCTGGTGAGCACCTTTGGAGCTCCGCCCAATCAAGGCATTTGATTGGTTTGACATGTTGCGAGGCATCACTGATTTACACCGGGTTCCGACCCCTCTTTAGCTGATTTCTGTCATGGAACTTCCCTAGGCTTCCTGTTTTAGGGAAGCCTGGTTTGCGACGAGGCTAGTGAGACCTACATGTTTCAAGAAGAACACCATAGTCGCTGTGCCCAAGAACGCCAAGGTAACCTGTCTAAATGACTATTGCCCCGTAACACTCACATCTGTAGCCATGAAATGCTTTGAAAGGCTGGTCATGGCTCACATAAACACCATCATCCCAGACACCCTGGAACCACTCCAATTCACATACCTCCCCAACAGATCCACAGATAACGCAATCTCTATTGCACTCCACAGTGCCCTCTCCCACCTGTACAAGAGGAACACCTATGTGAGAATGCTATTCATTGGCTACAGCTCAGCATTCAACACCATAGTGTCCGCCAAGCTCATCACTAAGCTAAGAACCCTGGGACTGAACACCTCCCTCTGCAACTGGATCCTGGACTTCCTGACGGGCAGCCCCCAGTTGGTGAGGGTAGGCGACAACACATCCGCCGCGCTGACCCTCAACATGGGGGCCCCTCAGGGGTGTGTGCTTAGTCCCCGCCTGTACTCCCTGTTCATCCACGACCACGTGGCCGTGCATGACTCCAACACCATCATTAAGTTAGCTGACAATGCGACGCCGGTAGGCCTGATCACCAATGACGATGAGACAGCCTATAGGGAGGAGGTCAGAGACCTGGCATTGTGGTGCCAGGACAACAATCTCTCCCTCAACATCAGCAAAACAAAGGAGCTGATTGTGGACTACAGGAAATGGAGGGCCGAGCACGCCCCCATTCACATCGACGGGGGTGTAGTGGAGCGGGTCGAGAGCTTCATGTTCCTTGGTGTCCACATCACTAAGGATCTATCATGGTCCACACACACCAACACAGTCGTGAAGAGGGCATGACAACGCCTCTTCCCCCACAGGAGGCAGAAAAGACTTGGCATGGACCTTCAGATCCTCAAAACGTTCCACAGTTGCACCATTGAGAGCATCTTGACTGGCTACATCACCGCTTGGTATGGCAACTGCGTGGCATCCGACCGCAAGACACTACAGGGGGTAGTGCGTAAGGCCCAGTATATTACTGGGGCCAAGCTCCCTGCCATCTAGGACCTCTATACCAGGCGGTGTCAGAGGAAGGCCCTACAAATTGTCAAAGACTCCAGCCACCCAAGTTATAGACCGTTCTCTCTGCTACTGCACAGCAAGCGGTACCGATGCACCAAGGCTGGAACCAACAGGAAACTGAACAGCTTCTACCCCCAAGCCATGACTGCTAAATAGTTTGTTAAACAGTTAATCAAATAGCTACCTGGGCTATCTGTATTAACCCTTTTTGCGCTAACTTTTTTTTACTCATCACATACGCTGCTGCTACTGTTTATTATCCATCCTGTTGCCTAGTAATTTTATTCCTAGTTATATGTACATATCTACCTCAATTACCTCGACTCGGTACTGGTACCCCGTGTAAATAGCAAAGTTATCGTTAATTATTACATGTTGTGTAGCTCAGTTGGTAGAGCATGGCGTTTGCAACGCCAGGGTTGTGGGTTCGACTCCCACGGGGGGCCAGTATGAAAAACAAAATGAAAAAAAATGTATGCACTCACTAACTGTAAGTCGCTCTGGTTAAGAGCATCTGCTAAATGACTAAAATGTCAAATGTAAATGTAATTACTTTACTATTATTTCTCTATTTTCTTTCTATCTGCATTGTTGGGAAAGGCCCATAAATAAGTATTTCACTGTTAGTCTACACCTGTTGTTCACGAAGCATGTGACAAATAATATTTTATTTGATAAGTAGGCTATTCTACTCAAAACAATTCTGCTGCAAAGGAGACCTGTGTCATTGACACGACTGTGCCACATAATTTGAAGAGGTAACTTATGTTAACAGGGAAGTTCATCTCTGGGTCAGGTGAGTTCCTTACAGGAGAATGGTCAGGTGACCAGGCCAGGAAGATCCACTCATAGCCCTGGTTGTTGGAGGAGTCCAGTCGGTACAGGATATAAGACGGCAGGTGGTCCTCTAGTAGAGGCAGGACTAACGAGTCGTACTCTTGGTCCCATGTCTTTGATGCTTGCCTGGTCACGCCCAAAGCGAGTTGCTCTGTAACACAAATTCAGTAGTTGCGCATTCAAAGTGAAAACTTAATATTGGTGTATTAAATCTCTTGGGCTTTCCTAAATCATGGTAATGTTTTTTTCTTCTAAAAAGGATCTGAAATATTGGCCTACCCTTGAAAGAAACAACCTTTGTGACAAACTTTAGATCGGTTTATTTATGATCAAATCGGTAGAAAGATAAACACTTCTTACCATCCTCAATCACAATCTTTAGGAGTCGATATTGGTCTCCACTCCTTGCACTGGCAAAGACATCCTTCAAGTCGTTACCAGCTGGAAAAACAGAGGGTAAGTGGGTTTGTTTCTTGTATTATGGGAAGAAGCCTCTACTGAAATTAATCAAACAAGGTATCCAGCCAGCTGTAAAGACTCCAGAGTAAGTATGGCTAAAGCCTCAAATGTAAACCATGCAATTATTGTCATACTTACACAAACAACCTTGGTTCCAGCTGTTTTTAAGATCTATATAGACTATTCGAGACTCAGTAAATTAGACAAAGTGGTCAAGCCTTCTAGGACACCATCCTGGTTCTGGCCCTCACATAAACCCATATAGAGAACAACGTAGGATTCAACGTAAGATGAATGCACACGACCTTAAGCAATCTCCTTCCACAAAGTGTTCAGCCGATCACAGATTTGAACACTAATATTTACATGCATGTTGTCGAGGTCACCATATATACACCTGCTTTGTGAATAGGATCCTCACACACCCATGTTGTGAAAACTACATTCATGTCACACAACGCCATCTAACGTTACCTGTTTAAGTAGCCTATCACTTGCATAAATAATTATATAACTGTGCAAATGAAACTGAACAAATATTGATACACTATATATACAAAACTATGTGGACACCCCTTCAAATTAGTGGATTCGGCTATTTCAGCCACACCGGTTGCTGACTGGTGTATAAAATCGAGCACACCGCCATGCAATCTCCATAGACAAACATTGACAGTAGAAAGGCCTTACCGAAGTGCTCAGTAGCTTTCAACGTGGCACCGTCATAGGATGCCACCTTTCCAACAAGTCATTTCGTCAAATTTCTGCCCTGCTAGAGCTGCCCCGGTCAACTGTAAGTGCTGTTATTGTGAAGTGGAAACATCTAGGAGCAACAACAGCTCAGCCGCGAAGTGGTAGGCCACACAAGCTCACAGAACAGGACTGTCGAGTGCTGAAGCGCAAAAAATCGTCTGTCCTCACTACCGAGTTCCAAACTGCCCCTGGAAGCAACGTCTGCACAATAACTGTTTGTCGGGAGCTTCATGAAATAGGCTTCCATGGCCGAGCAGCCGCACACTAGCCTAAGATCACCATGCGCAATGCCAAGCGTCGGCTGGAGTGGTGTAAAGCTCACCGCCACTGGGCTCTGGAGCAGTGGAAACACGTTCTCTGGAGTGACTAATCAGGCATCACCATCTGGCAGTCCGACTGACAAATCTGGGTTTGGCAGATGCCAGGAAAACGCTACCTGCCCCAATGCATAGTGCAAACTGTAAAGTTTGGTGGAGGAGGAATAATGGTCTGGGGCTGTTTTTCATTGTTCGGGCTAGGCCCCTTAGTTCCAGTGAAGGGACATCTTAACTCTACAGCATATAAATACGTTGTAGACGATTCTGTGCTTCCAGCTTTGTGGCAACAGTTTGCGGAAGGCCCTTTCCTGTTTCAGCATGACAATGCCCCAGTGCACAAAGAGAGGTCCATACAGAAATTCTTCATTGAGATTGGTGTGGAAGAACTTGACTGGCCTGCACAGAGCCCTGACCTCAACCCCATCGAACACCTTTGGGATGAATTGGAATGCCGACTGCGAGCCAGGCCCAATCGCCCAACCTCACTAATACTCATGTGGCTGAATGGAAACAAGTCCCTGCAGCAATGTTCCAACATCTAGTGGAAAGCCTTCCCAGAAGAGTGGAGGCTGTTATAGCAGCAAAGGAGGTACCAACTCCATATTAATGTCCATGATTTTGGAATGAGATGTCGACATAATAATAATAATAATAATAATAATAAGCCATTTAGCAGACGCTTTTATCCAAAGCGACTTACAGTCATACGTGCATACATTTTTTGTGTATGGGTGGTCCCGGGGATCGAACCCACTACCTTGGCGTTACAAGCGCCGTGCTCTACCAGCTGAACTACAGAGGACATACTTTTGGTCATGTAGTGTATCTTTCATTGGGTTGAAAGCCCTCAGATAATTTGGTGTAGGCTGTGAGTGAGCTCATTTTCTATGTGAAGGTGCGTCTGATAGGTTCAGGTTACGGATGTCAGGACCATTTTACATTTTAATGCCAAGTGTTTCAATGAAGGCGTTGCCCGAGCCAAAATGTCCAGCGTGAAAAACATGTTTCTTTCTTTTTCGCTTGAGCAGAGGCAGGAGCAGATCTGTCTGGCCATTTTTTTCAGACACATAGCTACTGCTGCTACTTCTTAGCAGAGAATCAAATCAATAATCACAGATAGCTCGCTGACGTTAACTGACTAGCTAGCTACAGTCGCTACCTACAGGAATCAGCACTTCAAATTAGCTTGCTCTAACGTTAGCTAAAACATTCGACTAACATCGATTAAAAACAGACTTTCAATTGAGATATATACAGTTCAAACTTGCCAAGAAAGCGACAACAGAATGTAAATGAAATAGCTACCCTGTATGCCCGTTTGGTGGGACATTTTGTCCTTTTTATCGTAAGAAAGGTTGATGAAGGAGAGAACCAAGCCAGGGTAAGGAAGTAGGAAGCGGACTAAAGTAACTTCATGTGTCGTCAGCATCAGCACGGTCACGTGGTTCAACATGCTGTCACGAGAAGAAATAAAACATCTCGGATGAATTATTACGTTCCTGCATTATTCAAATGACCCCCCAAAAAATATATGCGATGCTTTGACCTCAGGATTCAGGAAGTCTGTTTGTTTTTGTGGTATCTGAGGAATTTATGACTTTGCTAATGGTTTCAAATGGTTTTAGAGGATGTTGACTCAGCTTAAAGGGAGCATCTGGGGAGTAGTTCTATAGGGGTACCCTAAAGCCGAGGAAGTCTGTTAGGTGGCCTCCTGGGATTGGTCTGTAGGGAAAACACCCATATTATGTTACATAGGGCATAGGATATAAATACCACGGTTAAAACAAAGGAGGACAGAACAACATATTACAGATTGGGGTCGTTGTTCTCCAGATATCTGCAGATATCTGTAAATTGACGCTGTAACCCTTTGATATAAATAAACCTTTATAATCAAAGTACAGTGTCAGCGGAATTCTTGTTCTCACAGCATCTCAGCATAGTTTTCTCGACACCACATTTTCTATACACTCTGGAACGGAGGAGCTAGCTATTTTATAGGCTACACCCTACAGTCTGCAATGTTACATCTGCAGTGTTACATTTGTAACTTTTGCAATGTAGCCTATTGTTTGTGATGCAATGCTTCAGATATTTTCAGATTTCCGGTTTAAAATCTAGTAGCTATAGATAGGAGTCTACACATTAGGCCTATAATCGGTATCAGTAGGCTATTTGTTGGCAGTGGACAATAACTTGAACTATAGGCTAAATATAATGAAATGTAGATTTAGGCTATATGAAGATTTATCACACATTGCAGTGACTAAGAACTCTGCTACAGGCCTACATCTGTGATTTCCATCTTTTTTTGTAGGCTCAGTTATCTCCTCCTTATCAAAAATAATTTGCTAAATCTTGGCAGGGGACTGTAATATTAACCAGATGGATTAAATTGTTTAGCCTAAAATTGCCTTAACGAATGTTGGCCTTTGGAATTGAAAAGCATTATGCAATGCTTAATATAATTGTGTTTTACTCAAATAGGTTATTGCAAATATTTGCCTTTTGTTATGCAATTGATGTTTTGATTAATTCAAGTTGCGTCTTAGCGTAAGCCTAATACACGAAATATTTTTATTATTTCGGTGATGTGAGGACATAGCTGTGAAAGCCTGCTTAACACAACATCTGGGACGGTACAGTACCACGAGGCTTTTTTTCAAATGCTTCCTGTCTGCTGATTTCATCCCCTCCCCTCTGGATATAAATAAATATTTATATGCATGCATTAGGAAAATCACCCAGCCACCAGTGGAAGCTTAATGTGTTTGTTACATTGCAATGCACTGATGGTATTCGCCCGTCCTGATAGAAGCATATATCCACCGCGCGCCTCTCCAGCGTCATCATCACAGACAGAGACCAGCGAGCCGCTTCGGCCGTGCTGACAAAGCAGCGCCTGGCTGCCCCGCGGCTGCATGGACAACCAGCACAATGGCAGAGGATTTGGGGGTGCCTCTGTTTAAGCAACAACAGGTCGCATGGATAATCCCGCCACAGCCGAGCCAGCCGTGTTTACCCCGTCTCTTAGTTACGATGATTAGAGCGCCGCTGTCGACTAGTGGTGCTTGATGAGGCAGGAGAGAGAGCGGTGCGGAAGCGGGGCTTCTCGTCCTGACAATACGGATTAAGAGGGAAACGCAAAGCAACGTGGAACAGGTAAATGCGTGGCGTACGTGTGCGTGGCGTGCTTGTGTCGGTGTGTGTGTGTAGACTATCCATATCAAAGTACAGGGGATGCTTTCTCATTAAATCTATATGTAGATGGCTTGCACACACCATTATTGTGCAATGGGTAGGCTTCAGTTGTGTAATCAGATAATTCCATTCGGGGTTGCTAAAGTATAGGGATCGAGTGTTATCTGAGATGGGCTAAATCTGCGGTGACATTAGCAGACACAGCACAGCATCGCTGTTGTGACGATGTGGAGATGCATGTGTTCATCGATTTAATGATTGAGCTCACATGAGAACCAGAAATTGCTAGAACCGAGAGGGAGAAGGGGAGACTTAAAAATGATGGAACTCGTGTTCTGAATTTCCTGTCGTTTTTTTAGGTACGTCCTTCTTATTGGTCAGTACAGCAGTAAATATATTTCTTAAGGTGGTCCAGAAGAAAAACATGGTGTGGAAGGGGAGTTTATTTATTTTATTTATTCAGTGAGCAATCTACATCATCATCATCAACATCATCATCACACAGATGATGCATCATGCATCTGTAGTTCAGCTGGTAGAGCACGGCGCTTGTAACGCCAAGGTAGTGGGTTCGATCTCCGGGACCACCCATACACAAAAAATGTATGCACGCGTGACTGTAAGTCGCTTTGGATAAAAGCGTCTGCTAAATGGCATATTATTATTATTATTATTATTATTATTATTATATCTCAGTATTAATGATTGATAGAGGGATGCTTCACTCTGCCTCTCCTGATAAAAGACCATCCACTGAAGCCGAGCCATAACACCAACAACACCTAAGGAAGCACATTATACCAAGACAAACATGATGCTGGTGAAATTGAATATCCACATAGCCCAGTTTGACACTGCTCTTAATCTGGGGCCTTACATGATCATACAAATTCCCAGTGTGGATATTTGAGGAAACATGATCGGAGGCAGGAGGAGACAGATTTGGAAGCACCAGGAAAAGGCAAGGCAGTCAAGGGGTGAGTTAGTGATGAGGTGGAGTCCTGGAATGAATAATAGTCCACAGATTTAAAAATACAGAGGGTTTACTGTCCTGCTGGGAACTGACCCAAGCACTGCCCGGCAGTGGAACCAAAATATCAGCATGATGGTGCTAAATCTGAGGGATGTACAGCTAAGCACTTAATGTGAGACAGCTCCAAGAGACTGCCTTGTGTGACACTGTATTTTTACATGATCTTATTGATTGAGGGAATATCTCTGGAGAACCTCTGAAATCAAAGGTCAAATGGATTAGAAGAGAAATCTAAAATAAATGCAAATGGACACCATTTTGAAGAGTAGGACGACCATGATGAAGCTCTGAGGCTGCACTGTTGACCAGACTGATAGATGGGAGTTAGGACCTCTCCCTGATATTTCTCAGATAATCTCAGTCTGGATGATGGACCACTTGTCTGTCCTGCTCTTAGTGTGATGATCACAGTATGGAATATTCTGAGTAGTCTGAATTTAGAATAATCCCAATCCCAATCTCTGGTATTTACTCTATAATCTCAGGAACTCTGTAATGTTTCCACTGTAATCCACTGCGGATTTCCCTCAGGCAATGATATTCTCTCCCTCTTCAGGTGGACTGTGGCTTGGGGTCCTTCAAGATGGATATAGATCCCTGTTTCCGCTACTATTTCCAACACCCATGGTCTCGTCTGTTTGTGGCCTACCTCGTCACCTTCTGCAACTTCCTCATCTTCGCCGAGGACCCTGTCTCCCACAGCCAGACGGAGGCTCACATGATTGTGGTGGGAAACTGCTTCTCCTTCATAGTGAACAAGTACCCTGGCGGAGGATGGAGCGTCCTCAAAGTCATGTCGTGGCTGATGGCCATTGTCACTGGAATGTTTGCCGGGAAGTTCATATTCCACCGCAGGCTCTTTGGTAAGTCATGCGCGCCCTAATGAGAAATGCAGCCCTACAAACTAGGGCTGTCCCTGACGGAAAAAAAGTATTGGTCGACCGAGAGTCGTCAGTTCTTTCGACCAATAGATCGGTCAAAATTTAAAACGTGTATTTTTCCATATATAGACTCACCCTTTGTTTAAATAAAATCAACTATATGTAGGCTACTGAGCATGTCTGATGCTTTAAGCGCTGCGATTAAAAATGAAGAGACACAAATTACTAAAGAGGGAGCCAGAGACCAATATAGCCTAACCAGAAGAGAAAAACCTGTTCCTGACCAAACCCTCCTCCTCCAGCTGCCTGCTGCTGCTGGCCTTCGCAGATTCTGCCATTAAGCTCCTGAAGTTGCCGGTAATAGGCTACACCAGCGGTCGGCAACCTTTTCCATTTGGAGTGCCAAGTTATCGTACCATTTCTACTGATCTGCGTGCTGATGAGTCATCTACTGATGATTTTCAAATGCACATTTTTGTGGAACAGTTTTATTTAATTTATAATAAAGTCTTCATATCTCGAAATCAATGTCATGTGGTTAATCAAAATTATATCTAAAGGAAAATTATACAAATCTAAAAGTAACTTCTATTGCCTTTGCCAATATGTAAAAATAGCCTACATAAAGCCAACAAATAAAAACATTGCAGCCCGCAGGTAGAAAATATCCTGATATATCCTATACATCACATTGGCTACGCATGGCCTGTCTGCAAGGAACTTGAAACATTGTATCAACTATTAACTTGGTCAGGCCTGAAGCTCATGCTAGCAAACTTGCAACATTGTATAAAATATTCTGGGCCCTCAGAGTTTCCGTAGGCTGTTTGTGCAAGGGATAAGAAGTAATCAGGTAGGCCTTTTTTTATGACGTTTCTACTGGATCAGAGCATGACATTTTTTCCCCTTTCATGCTGAGTGGTTATCTAAAGAGAGAGAGCTGGAAAGATTTTTCAAATAGGCTACTTTGAGGAACTATTGTCATTCTCAATGGATGTAAAAACAGGCTTTGTTTACTTGCTGTTTGAGGCGAAGAAAAAATTACTTTGAGAAGCTCTACAGTGATGGTGAGTTAAGACAATCAGAAATAGTATCAGATCCCCAAATGGGCACATTTATAAGCCTACATTTTCACGCAGGCCAGATGGCCTAGGCCTACTTCTATGCATGTCCTTACTAAAAATTGAAAGGAGCACTCCAACAAAATACAATTAATAACTTGACAACTCGTAAATGGAATGAAATAAATCAAAACTGTAGCCTAGGTTGTGCGCTCTACAAACAACGTGTCCACTCCTACAATGACAACAGTGTAACAAGACTGTAATAATAATATATTGAATGCGTTAACAGAAATTACAAAAACCAAACAAACATTGTAGATACAAAATTATGGTAAATAACGGTAAATGTACTGCTGGTGATACTGGTGTGCTGCTTCTGATGTATTTGATCATCTTTATCACCCTCAACTCCTCCATCCTTCTGTCCTCCCCTCTCCACCTTCCTGCCACCTCACACATTCTTTCTCACTCCCACGCCACCCCCTATCTCCTCACTCCCACGCCACCCCCTATCTCCTCACTCCCACGCCACCCCCTATCTCCTCACTCCCACGCCACCCCCTATCTCCTCACTCCCACGCCACCCCCCCTATCTCCTCACTCCCACGCCACCCCCTTTCTCCTCCACCCCACGCCATCCCACCCCACCACCCTATCTCCTCACTCCCACCCACCCACCCCTACTCTCCTCACTCCCACGCCACACCCCTATCTCCTCACTCCCACGCCACCCCCTATCTCCTCACTCCCACGCCACCCCTATCTCCTCACTCCCACATCTCCTCACTCCCACCCACCCCTTATCTCCTCACTCCCACGCCACCCCCTATCTCCTCACTCCCACGCCACCCCCTACTCCCACCCCCCTATTCCTCACTCCCACACCACCCCTTATCTCCTCACTCCCACACACCCCCCTATCTCCTCACTCCCACGCCACCCCCTATCTCCTCACTACTCCACCCACCCTTATCCTCACTCCACCCCCCCACTCCTCACCCCCCCTATTCTACTCCCACCCACCCACTCTCTCCCACCCCTATCCTCACTCCCCAACCACCCCCTCTCTCCCTCACTCCCACCCCTGCCTACCCCCCCCCCTTATCTCCTCACTCCCACGCCCCCCCTATCTCCTCACTCCCACGCCCTATCTCCTCACTCCCATGCCACCTACACTTCCACATTTTGTTTTTACATTTGACATTTTTGTCATTTAACGGACGCGCTTATACATTTTTGTACTGGTCCCACGTTGGAATCGAACCCACAACCCAGGTGTTGCAAGTGCCATGCTCTGCCAACTGAGCCACACAGTCCAGCAGCACCCCGTTACCTCTCCTCCCTTTTCAGGCTACATCCACCCCTTCCCCTGCCTCACTCCTCCCTTCTCACCTCCCTGCCACCCCCCCTCTGTCCTCCCTATCCACCCACCTCCCTCCTCTGCCTACCACTGACTGTGACCCTTCCTTGGCATTTCCTCTGTTTACCCTGTGAAGGGGCTCAGATGACTTCCTGTAACTCACTCCTTCCATTCCCCGCTCACTTAACCCAGGATATTGGCCCGGGCCGTCTTCCTCAGATGAGATGTTAATGCCTGTAATTAGTGGGGTCACAGCGTGGATGATCTTTCCAGAGTCTCTCCGGTCTCTGATTGTCTCCACAGAGCATAAATAGAATCTGAGGGGACCATGACTATTCCATGTGCTGCTCTCTATAAATATAGAATGGTGTAGTCTTCACTTAG